GACTTCGCCTGGGTCCGAGGCTGGCGAGCTCCACATGCTTGTGGGAATTGGGGCCGGCGGGGTCTTCGGACTCCGCCTGGCTCCGGAGGGCGAAATTTCGTGGACACCACTTAGGGATCCGTGTGGGGAAGTGCCGAGTAGGGTCGAGTAGGGCCGCGTGGTGCCGCGTGGTGCCGGGAGGGGGTGGGGCAGCCATTGGGGTGCCTTTAAACTACTCTACTACAACTGAAATACAGCCTGTGGTGCCGAGTAGGGCAGAGTGGGCCGAGTAGGGCCGCGTGGTGCCGCGTGGTGCCGGGAGGGGGTGGGGCAGCCATTGGGGTGCCTTTAAACTACTCGGTGCCGGGAAGGGGCGGGGCAGACAATGGGGTGCCTTTTTGTGGTGCGGGGAGGGGGTGGGGCAGAGTAGGGCCGAGTAGGGCCGCGTGGTGCCGCGTGGTGCCGGGAGGTGGGGCAGCCATTGGGGTGCCTTTAAACTACTCTACTACCACTGAAATACAGCCTGTGGTGCCGAGTGGGGCCGAGTAGGGCCGCGTGGTGCCGTGTGGTGCCGGGAGTGGGTGGGGCAGCCATTGGGGTGCCTTTGAACTACTCTACTACCACTGAAATACAGCCGAGTAGGGCCGCGTGATGCCGCGTGGTGCAGGAAGGGGTGGGGCAGCCATTGGTGCCTTTAAACTACTCTACTACCACTGAAATGCAGCCTGTGGTGCCGAGTAGTAGGGCCGCGTGGTGGCGCGTGGTGCCGGGAGGGGGTGGGGCAGCCATTGGCTGCCTTTAAACTACTCTACTACCACTGAAATACAGCCTGTGGTCGGAGTACGGCCGAGTAGGGCCGCGTGCTGCCGCGTGGTGCCGGGAGGGGGTGGGGCAGCCATTGGGGTGCCTTTAAACAACTCTCTACCACTGAAATACAGCCTGTGGTGCCGAGTTGGGCCGAGCTCGGCCGCGTGCTGCCGCGTCGTGCCGGGAGGGGGGGCAGCCATTAAACTGCTCTACTACCACTGAAATACAGCCTGTGGTGCCGAGTAGGGCCGATACGGCCGCGTGGTGCCGCGTGGTGCCGGAAGGGGGTGGGGCAGCCATTGGGGCGCCTTTAAACTACTCTACTACCACTAAAAACATCCTGTGGTGCCGAGTAGGGCCGAGTAGGGCCGCGTGGTGCCGCGTGGCCGGGAGGTGGGGCAGCCATTGGGGTGCCCTCTACTACCACTGAAATACAGCCTGTCGTGCCGAGTAGGGCCGCGTGGTGTGTGGTGCTGGAAGGGGGTGGGGCAGCCATTGGGGTGCCTTTAAACTACTCTACTACCACTGAAATACAGCCTGTGGTGCCGAGTAGGCCGAGTAGGGCCGAGTAGGGCCGCGTGGTGCCGCGTGGTGCCGGGAGGGGGTGGGGCAGCCATTGGGGTGCCTTTAAACTACTCTACTACCACTGAAACACAGCCTGTGGTGCCGAGTAGGGCCGAGTAGCCATTGGGGTGCTTTTAAACTACTCTACTACCACTGAAATACAGCCTGTGGTGCCGAGTAGGGCCGAGTAGGGCCGCGTGGTGCCGCGTGGTGCCGGGGGGGGTGGGGCAGCCATTGGGGTGCCTTTAAACTACTCTACTACCACTGAAATACAGAGTAGGGCCGAGTAGGGCCGCGTCACCCACTAAAATACCACTAACATGCAAGGAGTGGGGCAACCGAGACGGCCTGTAGCCGAGGAGTGCCGAGTACGGCCGCGTAGCGCCGAGTGGTACCGGGAAGGGGTGGGGTAGACATTGCAGGGAGGATGGGGCAGACGGCAACCGCCTGTGGTGCCAAGAGTGCCGAGTAGTGCCGAGTGGTGCCGGGAAGTTCTTGGTCTGGATCCCGCTGTGCAGTGGTGGATCCAGGCTTACCGGGGGTAGCAAGCTTGTAGGGTGCTGGTCAGCAGGACGGCCTAGATTCCTGAGTAAGAGCGAATGGGCGAGATGCTGCAAGAATCAAAGAGCTTCTGGGCGCCGCCCCGGCAGGGGTCGGCGGATATATATTCTTTAAAAGCATCAATCTCTGTAAATGTCTAGTATCATTGACTGTAATAATATGCCTTTACCAGATCCTGAAGGACCGGTTATTAGTTGACTGAATGGTAATCTTGTTGCCACTTCATATTTAGATTGTTTAAAATCATATTCTTTGACATTAACAGGCATGACTAGTGGTGTAATCATTGTAAAATGTAATAATATTGAGAAAATAAACTACAGCGGTCATATTGATGTTATTGAGAATATTGAAGAAACACAAGAAGAAATAAAACCTCCCAAATATCTCAGGTGTTGTTAGCCTCCCTTGGAGGTTTGCAAGCTTATGTTACTTTAAAAACAATTGGAGAATAAGACTTAAGAAGTCTACTTAATTTCATTGACAGATAACCGACAAAAGGAAGGAGGGTTAGAAATAACGCCTACAAGTCTGAGTTGCTTGCCTTGTAGGTGCAAAGAAACACTTACCATAAGGAAAATAAACGAACCAATGAAGACAACAACCAACCGATAATGATAGGTGAAGATAGGAGCAGCTATACGTTGGGAAAGAGGAGTGACTCTCGACACCGACATATTTAAACCAGACCAAACAGGAATCAATGCTATTGGCACACAGGTTGGGGAGCAGGTCGAAAAACAACGCCAGAAGAATGCGATGAAAGGATTGAGAAGAACGCGGATGATATAAAGGATCTTGAAAGTAGAATAGAGAAGAACATATACAAAACAGAAGAAGATAAGGGAAGATGTTAAGAAACCAGACAAAGACGTTCATTATATCAAGAATAGGAGTTTAGATTTATTAGATTAAACATATGCAAAATTTTAAGCCATTATCTAGCGACAGATTACAGTATTGCCAGAAGTCCCAAACATAAACATAAAACATTGCCGAACGGACCCCCCATGCGCCCACGTGTTGCTACGATGAGAGGACTGAGAAAGGGAAGCATCTGACATTCTTATCTAATTTATCGTGTCATAAGCATATCACAAGGAAACTTTGTAAGCCATGTTAAATCTTAAGGAAGATGGATATTTCATAACATTTCGTTATGTTATGATCTATTTTGTCACCTAATGATGTAATGTAATGATTGTTGTGTTTGGAGAGGTAAAGGAAATCAAAAAGGGCTTTACTGAGTTCAAGAGGGGCAAAAGGAACTATCCAATTAGTAACTTCGCGAATGCTAGTAATCAGACCATCAATAACTTGTAAATACTGCAGGGAAGACTCGAGGAAGGAAGGCGAGAGGAGGAAGATTCAACAGATGCTGCAAACGCGTTAAAACGTTTAAAACTTGTACAACTTTTAATCCAGTTTTGTATATATGAGTATTGTTCGTCAGAAATCAAAAGCCCAATCAACAAGTTGAAAGAAGAGGCTACTTAAACAGCTGAAAGATTTAGTCAGCAGTCTTGTTGAAAGAGTTGTAAAGTTAGAAGGCAATAAGGGGAACATCAAGCCTAGTGATAAACCTAATATTACAGATGCAACCTATAATAATCGTAGGAATTCCAATGAGATCAAGCAACCCAAGGAAGAACCAATGAGATACTGATTATAATGTTGTATATGAAGGCAGGAAGGTCTATTTTTGAACAGTTCAAGGAAGAAGCGATTTAAAGACAAGAACATTTTATATATTAGAGTATGGAGACTGAAATGCAGAAATGTGTGAAATGTAAGAGAGTCAACGAGCCCAGTCAGTTCAAAAGTTGTGCAGTATGTAGAGAGACAGGGGACGGCAAAACCATATGAATGATAGAGACGAGCGGAACGTCAAAAGGAATCTTCACCACCAAGCAAACAAAGACCATGACAGGGAAAGATGGCAAAAATCTTATGCAGAAAAGAAAGATATAATAAACCAACAAAAACGAACCGACAGAGAAAACAGCCTTAAAGCAATGTACACAAGGAGCGGAAAGCGAGATACAATTAAAAAGTAAGGGACATTTTTATTACTTGTCCCCTATGTGGCTATGACATCAAGAAATACACAAAAACACAACACCAGAAACGCCAACTACATTAAAGGAACCTAGAAGCGAGCCTGAACAAAAACAATACATCAACACGAACTCTTGAACAGAGAGAATACGTTGAATCATTACAAACCCCTCGATGTTATTCAGTGATGGTACAACATAATAAAACTATATTGTATCATCTACTGCCCCCAAGCCCTGTATACCCCAAAAAAACCCCAAATTTTGTCAACCTGGGCACGCCTATTGGACAGATTGTCTTTGGAAAAGCCCTATTTGATTATATTTATTGTAGGTGTAAAAGTGTAGGGGGCGGTACGGGTTTCAAGGCCATCTGCGCAATAGGCGTGCCCTATGCTAACTGATTAAGGGTCGTTTTGCGAGAGAGATCCAACTATCTGAGCAATCCGAACGAAAGAAAGTACACGAGGGCCTGTCCCTACGCCCGACTTTCAGTGCTAGCTTTACCTAATATCCAAGTCCCACCCACATCGACACCTACACCTACACACGCGCACCCACACGCACATCCACGCGCACGCGCACGCGCACCCACCTACGCATGCACGCATGCACGCGTGCACCATGCACGCATGAATGCATGCACGCACGAATGCATGCGCATGCACGCACGCATGCATGCCCGCACGCGCGCACGGACAGACAAGTTAAACGAGTAGAAGAATATGTGAGGTGAGTATATGAACACTGAACTATGGTCCGGAAAATTGCAAACAAAGAACTATGCAGCAACAAAGAGCTATGAGCAGAAAGCCATTTTTGCATATGCAAGCTCTTTGCCATATAAAGTGCATCATAAACAGACGAGTATAAAAACAGACAGGATCGATGCAAGTCTAACTGTAGCTGCAGGCACTTATGAGCTAAATCTACACCAAGCACCAAGAGGTATGAACTTGACTATATGCATCTTTTACTTAGGGTTTAGGCGGTTGAGTGTTTTAAGGGTCCGAAGTACGAGTCGTCCCAAAGGATCGGTCAACAGATGAAGATTCGGAGGGACGCGCAGCGACAGCTTGCCCTTGGCCAGACCCGCGGAAATGCCTCCTCTGGCGCCTTGGAGACAATTTGACGACAGACTTTTTTTTGGGAGGGGGGGGGGCCACAGTGTGGCAGAAGACGCAGGTAAACGTACGGTCGACTCCGGTAGACCAGGTGTGCCGGACTTCGCCACAAACCTCCCGCCTGGAGCAATATCAGTTTGATAGGTATCTAATTACTTGGTTCCGAAACCACAGCTATGGCTGTTTATACCCTGAAGCTTTTTCCCCGATTTCAATAGCAAGAACCTGAATCGTATCCTCTCTCAAGGTGTCTGGCACCGCTGTGCTTGCGAAGGACGGAATCACCCCACCAACCCAGACTGTGGGTTGGGGGGCACCTGCCAGTGCAATGGACAGGTAAGGTACGGCTACGGCAACCAGTGGCCCCTGTGATCCGAATTTACATGGGGTTTAGGGTTTCAAGGTTCAGCATTTTGGAGTGTGCGATTGGAGAGGCTTCAGTTTCGTTGTTCCGACGGAGTAGCTCACCTCTGTGGAGGTATAGTTTCCGGAGTTTAGGATACCGAAATTAACGAACATACCTCAAAATTTACCGCGTTTCCTATTACAACTGAAGGCAGATCCCTTGCCTGTAAACGTTACGCGTCGTCCGCCTCTACCAGCGGAGAGGGCCGCGGTCCATGGTTAGGGGTGGGGAACAAAGGATTCGGGCTTCGGGTTTAGGGTTTAGGGTTTAGGGTCAGGGTTTAGGGGAACAGACATCGTGACGTTTGACCAAAACCGCAGCGATTTAAGGGGTGTTGGAGAGCAGTGGGGTGGGCGATGGAGTTTATTCATGGGGTGGCATTGGGCTCTCTGGGTATTGGGGTTGCGGGTTGGCGATCTCAATCTCATGAACAACATTGAGATCTTCAGTGCTAGTGGTGGGAGGCTCTTGAGTGACCCGATGTATCTTTGAATCCCGTTGCAATCCGCGTGGCCATGCTACAAACCCTTGTTCGTTCAGTATCAGTGGGGTAGCCATTGAAGGATTTAGCCCCAAGTTCTGAAATCTGAGAGTCTTAAAGCCTACACCTTAAACTCTTAAATAAAACCTCAGACCTCTAACCCCAAATGCGTGAATCCTAGACCAGGTACACCATGACTTCTTCGGGCAGCATCCAGTGCTCCAATTCGGTTTTCGGTGATCCCTTCAAATACCAGGGGAAGGAATGCCAGTGCCTCGCCGACCAGGCGGGGCTTTCGGGGGCATTGGCGGTTTGGGGATCTTAAGGGTTCGCAGGTTTTCTGGTTCAGGGGTTTTGGGGTTTCGGGCTTTCGGTTTCAAGTTCAGGTTTGGGATCGTCTCAAGACCTTCCCTTCTGCTTCTCCGTTAACATGCGGCCGCACTTCGGGATGCTGCAGAGGGCGATTTCCAAGCATCACCGTACTGAGGAAGAAGTGAACCTTGAACCCGACAGCCCTAAGCTCCAAAAGGCTCTGAGCCCTGAGCCCTAGACCCCGAACCCTCTCAACTCCTGCACCTTAAACCCTAAACCCTAAACCCCTAAACCCTAAACCCTTAACCCCTAACCCCTAAACCCTAATCCCTAAACCCTAAACCCCTAAACACTCCGGACGCCCTGACCCCAAAACCAGGTGGAGAGTGGCTCCTGGGAGCGTTGTGCTTGTGCAAATATTGCTCACCCCACTTTCCCGAGCTGCACACTTCCATCCACTTGCAACTGCAATGGCCAGGTCCGGTTTGGGTATGGCAACTCTGAGAATGTTGGGATCAGTTTCTTTCGGTTTGTCTAGAAGCCCAGAAGCCCAGCTGCCTACATGATCGCTCTGATCCTCTGCGGGGCTGTAGAAGGACGGCAAGGTAGTCGGCTTCTAGCATTGCCGTTGTCTGCACAACCCAAGGCGACAAGTGGAGCACAAGCATGGCCACCGGAGATATCCAGTGCGGCACGGGCGTCATGGGTGACCCGGACCCTGGTCAAGCCAAGGAATGCCAGTGCTTCAAGCCCAGCGCGATTCCCAAGAGCCTGGGTTCTCCAATACCCAACCTTCAAGCTTTTTGGGTTCTAACGTGAAAGTTGTAACCCCCAAGCTAGATCCCATGGCCTAAGCCGCAAACACTGTATGCCCTAACTTGTACCTGAAACCACCGGAACCTTCATTTTTGGAAAAGCAAGGAGCACGTGGGGGCTACAGGTTTCGACGTGCTTTGACTGGTCCTTCGTCGCCTTCTCTTTTTCCCTCTGCATCGGCCTTCTCTTTGGAGAGAAGGATGGGGAGGTGGTGCTCCCGAACCTTGTAACTGGGCGGCAAGTTTATGTAAGTTACCAGAAGGCACTTGATGTACCATCGTTACAACGAAGGGCTTATGATGTACTATACCCCCTGGCACAATGCCCATCAATCCACAGAACTTGAGGAGCTTAAGGAGAAGTTGCTTGCAGAGAGCTTGAACCACAGGTAATGGACGTTGAGTTCGGCGCAACCTCATTCTATGAGTCGGCCTTGGAGAACAAGGAGCCGGAGGCAGGATTCTCCTTGGACTTCGACTTCAAAGAGGACCCGAGTCAACCTCTTACTTTCCCTAAACCCCAAGCCCTAAAAACCCTAAACCTCAAACCCTCAACCCTAACCCTTCAACTCTCAACCCTAAGCCTAAACCCCTAAACCCCTAACCTGTTTCAGGGCTTTGGGGTTTCGGGCTTTAGGCTTTTGGGGTTCGGAGGTGTGAGCCCTAGATGTAGTGGGGGGACTTAGGGACCAGGTCACTCCGTAAAGACGGGAACAAGGTTGCGCAGGGATCTTTACGGTTTTAGGGTTTAGGGTTTAGGGGTTATAATTGCAAAAGAGCTAAGGCGTGTTGCTTACTGAAGGCCAGACTGCAGTGCAGCCTTATTTTGGCGAATGAGGGAGCGTGATAAAGACCCCCGTGTCCTTTTCTGTGTGTTGAATATCAGTCTTTCTACCGGGGGATATGGAACCCATGGGATTTCTGCATCAGGCTCCCTTTTCTAGCTTTTCTTTCTTGGAGCATGTTTAGTCTGTACTGGTACGTTCGGGTGCCGCTGCCGTGCTTGGCACAGTCGTCTCCCATGAACATCTTGCGCTGGGCTAGAAACCTTGAAGTTCTGAAGCCCTAAACCTTAAACCCCAAGCCTGAACTCTTAACCCGAAACCCTACACCACCCTAAACCCTAAACTCGTACCCTTTCATCCGCCTCCAGGAATATCCGGCCTTCTTGCCTGCCAGCGAGCCACGTTGGGGCGTTGCGGGCTCCATGGACGTGGCTTTGGCCGGAGAGCTCGAAGGCTTGGAAAGAGTTTTGGTTTAAACACAACTAGAATAACAATAAGACCAATTGTAATAACGCTAAATGGCAGTATTTACAAAAATAGTAGTAATGAATAAGAATGAGTATAGTAACAAAACCCTTTGGATAATACGAACAAGAACAATAATAACAGGAATACTAATAACACTAACAATAACAACAAAAATAACAGTAATCAGAATAATTAGCGACACAATAAGAAATACTAACAGTAAGACGACTACGACGACTGCTACTGCTGCTGCTGCTACTACTACTACTACTACTACTACTACTACTACTACTACTAACCATTACAATAGTAATAATGAAGCTCTACCGAAGACGACGCAGTCTGAATTGAAGCTTGGAGTCGATGTAGGAGCAAAGGGCGAAGTCCAAAAGTTCGGATCGTTGAAGATTGCTTACTCTGCTGGGATCCGAGATGCTCTACTTGAAGGGCATGCCTTCCAGCTTCTACCCTAAAATCCTCTCCAAAGCCTGAACAAACCTAAACCCTAAACCCTAAACCCTAAACCCTAAACCCAAACAGCTCTCAAACTCCCCAATTGCACCGGGCGGCCTGGAAGGCATTTCACAGGTCGGCGGCGAAGTAGGCGTCACCTTCCTGCCAGATCCGACGGTGGCACGAGGCCGAGAGATCATGAGGATGCTTATAGCTAGTTACAATAAGGCAGGGTATATCTATATCTATATATATATATATATATATTATATATATATATATATATATATATATATACGGACATGCACACATGCATACATACGTACATACATACCTGCATACCTGCATGCATGCATGCATGCATGCATGCAATGACATTACATTACGCTACATGCATGCAACGACATTACATTACATTACGCTCCATGCATGCATCCATCCATCCATCCATCCATCCATCCATCCATCCATCCACATGCATGCTTACATGCATGCTGCATACATGCATAAATACATGCATACGTAGGTGTCTATATCTATAGCAGTATCTATGTATATGTATGTGTCGATCTATGCGTGTGTATATGCATTAACGTCAACCTCAACTCAGAATTTTGAGTCCCTGAGCTGGGAACAGCTGACCCGGTCGGAGGATTGTTTAAGCATGGGGTTTCGGTAAAGTTTCCATGGGTTTTTTTGTAGAGTGTTTGTGTGAGAGTTCTGTAGAGGGGAAGGGGCAGGGTGTTGGGTGGGAGCATTGAGGGTTTAGGACAAGTTGAGGGCTGTTGATCTTGGGTTTAAGTATCTTGGGGTTCCAATCTGGGGTTCAGTGCGGAGTGTCGAGGTTTTTCGAACTGGCCTAAGGGAAGAGCCGATACAACCGAGGATACAGCTTCACCCTTATGATGGGCACGGACTCCGCCGGTGAGGAAGCTCAGGCATCCTTGGTGTCTCAGATGCAGGACGCACCCGCGCGGGGCTCAAGGTTCAGCGTTTGACATTGTGGGGGGTTCGTGTTTCGGAGCTCAGGGTGCGCTGCTGCTTCAGTTCAGGTCCGAAATCCCAAAAGACCAGAATCGCAGGCGAATGCCGGAAATTCTGATGCAAGGCACCAAGGGGCGACACGGGAGATCGCATGGCCCCTCGGTTAAGGAATGCCCACCGCCTGGTAAGAAAGTGGCCTTAATAATCACCTGTACTACTTGGGGATACTTGGGGGTTCCTCTTGTCCTTCTATAATTACAGTATAGCGGGCCCCAAAACCCTGTTCTAATTATTAAAGCCCCTATATTAGGTTCAGGTTGTCGGATCCCCTCAATTCCAGGAGGCGGCGCAGCAGACGAAGACACAGGCGCTTTCCCAGGGCGCTTCCGCCACCGAGGCGAGATGGAAAGACCCAAGCAGGGAGGATGAAGTTTTTAAAACAATGCCTGAGCACCTGAGCCCAGTTTGGGGTTTTTATGGTGGCAGGGTTTAGGTTTCCAGATTCAGGGTGTGCGATGAAACTCAGGTTTTAAACCTTAAAGGTTCGGATATTAGAGGTATAATCTAAAGGCTAGTTGTTTCTTACTCAGGCCCGAAGAAAGGAGCCCAAGGGAGCCCTGTCCACTACGACCAGATGCTTTGCATTCTTGCACGGGTTAAAGCACAAAATCATTCCCACATCCTCTGCACCTATTGCCGCAAGGCCCTGAAGGCATTCAAAACCTGAAGCCCCCACGCCTATCATCTAAATGCAAGACTACCCTGACTCCTGCTAGTTATGCGAACTAGCTGAACCTACACCCGCAAAACAACAACATCCGCTTGCCTCAAACCCTGAACCCAAAGCCCCAAGCCCTAAACCCTGAACCCCAAAGTCCTAAACCTCACGAGTTCTTGGAGTTCAGGCCGCAGCATTGATGGCAGCGGTCGGGCACATGGCCAAGTCAAAGGATCCTGTTCTGGGGTGAAGGGTTCTTGGGTATTGGGGGCGCTTGGGGGGTTTAGGAAGGTTCGGGTACAGTCTAGGGTTTGCGGTTTGGGGTGTAGTTATACCCTGAGCCCCCACTTTTCAGGATCATAAGTTGCTTCGTTACGTCTTTTGTTTGGCGGGTGTAACTTCGGGGTCGGGGTCTGGTTCCTAGGGTCTTGGTCTGCAAGGCTTTGGGTTTGGTATTGGAAGTTGTTGGCTGCGGATCGTCGCTTCTTTGCGGAGGCGCCATGCGTTGTTGGGTTTCTGTGTTTCGGGGCCCGCCCAGAAAACTTGAGATGGGGTTTCAAACCCTACACCCCAAACCCTAAAACCTAAACCCCAAGTTTCAGAGAGTCGCATCACCGGAGGGTTTAAGAAGGGGTCGTTCTATAGATGTGAAAGAGTGGTATCATGTAGGGACTCCTCAGCCTGCCGAAGCCTCCTAAAGGGATCCCTAAGAATCCTTTCAAGGGATCCTTAAGAATTCCTTTAGAGGGATCCATAAGAGTTCTTTAAAGGGATCCCTAAGACTTCCTTTGAAGGGATCAATAAGAATCCATAAGAGTTCCTTTAAAGGGATCCCTGAGAATCCCTTCAAAGAGATCCATAAGAGCTCCTTTAAAGGGATCTGTAAGAGTTCCCTCGCATCCCCCGACGTCCGACAGGACTTCGACCGAATGTTGGAGACGGCAGTTCTACCTCGTTCAGACCCTTGGTCTGTATGGGAGTTTCAGAAAATGGGGGGTACCTTACTTGGGGTCCTTATAGTAGGGACCCTACTATTTAGGGTACTATATTAGGGTCCCCTATTTTCGGAAACTCCCGTATAGGGGCCTTTATAGGGGCCCTAGGGTTCCTTCAAAGAGCTACTATAAGGGCCCTTTAGGGTTCCTTGAAAGAGCTACTATAAGGGCCCTAGGGTTCCTTCAAAGGGCTACTAGAAGGGCTATTATAAGGGTTTAGCGTAGTGGCCTTACTAGTTTAACAATATTGCTTTGGGGGTTCCTTATTATAGTTATAGCATAATGGGCCCCAAAACCCTATTCTAATTATTAAGGCCCCTGTATTAGACTCTTATCTCACGGGCTTTAACAACTTCAAAAAGGGTTTTGTTCGGGTTTTTGTGGTTGATTCCCCAAACGGTTTCTACACAATGGGGACCTTGTGCTGGAGGAGAGGATTGATTACTGTCCGCCGCGCGTGGAAAAGAGGCTCCCTGTGTCCTGTGATTTGCAAGAGATGCTGCGACTCGGGTTTCTGGCGTCCCACTGTTTACACAGGAGGCTCAGGGCACGCGTCTCACGCTGTGGTGTGGTGCATAGTTTTCGCTGACCTCCCATGATCTACAGAGGATTCTGTGTGGTACACGTGCCCGGGAGGCATCGTTCATTGTAAATGCTACGATATGGGCCACTTTTGTCTCGAAGACCTTGAATAGAAGAACAGTACCTGGGGAACGATTTCAGGTGTTCCTCTGGATCTCGCACGCGAAGCCGCGGAAGCATTATCCAGCTCTTTCCGAAACAAGCCAGTATCTAGGCGAAGGCACTTTCGCGCTGCTCTTGCGATGTCCTGGGGTCTCCTGGTGGTTTTTCTGGCGGTGTCGTGGTTGTCTCTTGGTGATCTCTTGGTGGACTCTCGGTGGTCTCTTGCTCCTAGTCGTCGTGGTGGTTTTTCACTGCCTGGGAATCTGCGCTGCATAATACGGAGGCCTTAATGATTAGGGTTGTGGGTATATTATAGTATGAACCCTACAAGGAATGGTATCACTAATCATTCAAGGTGGATGCCTCTGGTGCAGGTTAAGGAAATCCCTTTGTTGAAATTCCTTAGCAGTAGGGCCCTTACAGCTTATGGAATATCCCTTTATCAAGCGTCGCTGGTTAAAGAATCAAAGACCAAAATGTCCCTAATTTTCACTTGGCTAGGCCTAGCGCCCAGCCCCCTGCTAAGCAGCAGGTGCAACTGTTTGCACACAGCACTGCCAGCAATCAAGCAATCGCTCTGACAAGTCCATGCAAACATGCGCAGTCGCTCACACACGTGTCATGGTGCTATAGATTCCACTCTACTGCATGCATCTCGCATGAGTTAAGGAGCATTCCTCAATCAGTGGAGCTTACGCCCGAAACCCTAAAATCTAAACCTTAAACCCGAAATCTTAGCCCAAAGCCCGACCCCAAACTCTAAGCCCGAAAGCTTAAAACCCTAAGCCCCGAGCCCGAAACCCTAAACCCCAAACTCTAAGCCCGAAAGCCTAAACCCAAAGCCCTAAGCTCAAACTGTAAACCCCAAACTCTAAACCCTAAACCCTAAACTCTAAGTCCGAAACCCTAAACCTTTGTCAAGCCCAGGATCAGCTCCTTCAAGCCCTGGACTCGGCCGCAACCAAGGCGGTGCCGCCTGTGAAGTTGGAGGCCACAGACGACAAGGGGGGGTTTAGAGTTGAGGGTTTGGGGTTCAGGGGTTAAGGGGGCATTAAAGGGGCCCCAATAATTACCAATACTGTCTTGGGGTTCCATAAGGGCTACTGTAAGGGCAATTATAAGGATTTAGTATGGGGGCCTCAATAATTACCAATACTGTGTTGGGGGCTCCTTACTGTAGTTCCAGTGCCAAAAAACCCCCAAACCCTATTCTAATTGTTAAGGCCCGTATGTTGGTTATATTAAGGGTATCAAAACTAGAAGTGTTGCATAAGGGGTATAATAGGGGTTGCGATAAGGGTTGCTACAATGGGTGCTGTCATGGCTAAGATTTCTGCAAGGGTTACCAAACGGGCTAAAGGCTTTGGACTGTTGGGTTGTGGTGGCTTCAGGGTTCGGGGGCTCTTTTGCTCGGGGTTGGGGTGCTGCAAAGTTTAGTACGCAAGGGAAGTTCGCGCCACTAGCGAACCTTGAGAGGAGGTCCCGCCCGTAAACACCGAAGCACCATGTTTCTAGGATTTAGCCTGTGCTGCCTTCCGCTGTGGATGCAGGTGTCGGTGAGCGCGGAGGTGTCTTTCTCCTTTTGCCTCACGCCGCCGGTGTGCAACGGGCAGTGAGGCCGAACGCACGATGCGAAGTGTTTCCACTTGGCAAAGGCCCTTGGCCGTGCCTCGCCTTTCCCCCTGCAGTTTTGCGTGTCGATGCTGACTGTCGCTCAGGGGTGTAGCATAGTAACGTCGCGCTCTCTGAGAATCAGGACAAAAAGTCGAAGCTGCATTGATTTTCTCAAGCTTCTGGGTCAAAGCTGCATGGTGCCACAAGCTTTGCGATGCCCAACTCTTAGTCGAGGACATTGTGATCCTTCGGCAGGCTTCCAGCGAGATCCGATCTGTGCAGACATGTTATCTGCGAGTGCAAGGATTCTAGACCCGACACCCGAAACCCCTAAACCCTTACACCCTGAACCTTTGCGCGGCACTTTGCTCCTTCGGAGCCATGCGCACCATCTCTCGCGCATCTTGCGAGGCCGCTTCCTCAATTTGTTGGGGCCTGGGCGGCCCTATCTAGGGGGCCGAAATAATTACGAAAAACTTTCCGAACCCTATTCAAGGCCTCTTTCTACGAAAGGAAGGTGCTCTAGAGTGTAGAGCCGTTCATGCAGCGAATAGCGCTCGTTCGGGCAACTGGACCAGTCCACAAAGTATCCGGAAGCAAGCAAGAAAACAGCAACATGCTTTTAGAATGCAAGAACATGATCGTAGCACAGCATAATGACTACGGACGGTGATGGCGAGTGCTAGGGCCATACCATGTTGCATTCGTATGGCCAACAGGGTTGGGATCTTCTCTCTTGCAGGCTGCTGGGGCAAACTTCGGCTTCTAGGGTTTCTGGGGTTTCAGATTCAAGGTGTCGCGAGAGTTCTCGAGTTTGAGGTTCAGGTTTTGGGTCTTCCGGTTTGCTTCCGGGGGAGACGCACCAGCGCGATTTTCATTCCACGGCTCGAAGTGGGGATCTTCGGACGAAGCATGTCGCATGCATGCTCTAGGAGTTGGGCCCCTGGTGGAGTTAAGTCCTACTTGTCCCTCTTCATGTCTACAGACCTGCGGCAAGCTGTGTGGATCAGACAAGGAGCATGCTGGTGTTCCACTCGTTTGCTGTCAATCGACATGTCGATTCGCCACGAAATTTTCTATAGAGATGACAGTTTTCTGCGAGCTGTACAACTATACTTCGGGACGGCGTTCAGTGGCTATTGCAAGCACGACGAGGCAGGGCGGTCCGCCCAAAAAGTTTCGAACTTGGCACAGTTTTTTTGCGTGTGTGCTGTGTTGGGGTGTTCATGGGCCTGTCGACCGCAACTGTCATGCGACGTGGCTTTTCAAACGGGCTGGTGTCGAAAAGACGGTTGCTATTACTACTGCTTTTGATATTCCTAATGCGCTTACTTTACCTATCGTTATTGGTGGTAGTGCTAGTAGTACTATTACCTGCGTTCTTCTTCTTCTTCTTCTTTCTTGCTTTTCTTATCTTCTTGTTGCGATGCTTCTCAGTATCATCAGTGTTATTCTTACTTGTGCATTCTTTCTCCTCTTCTCACCAATGATGAGTATCATCATCGTCATCACCGCCACGCTGTCATGTTCTTCATTATCGTGAGCATCATCGTCCGCCTCTTCACTTCGCAAGACGAGGGCTTCGCGTTTTCTGATTCAATGGGCTCGAGCCCGAGAGCAGGGCCCGTGAGAGCCTCACGCCTCAAGCCGAAGTGCTTTAGCTTGCTACTCAGGCTCTAAACCTCAACGAGACTCAGCATCCTAAACTCAACCCTAAACCCTAAACCCTAAACCCTAAACCCTAAACCCCAAACCCTAAACCCTAAACCCTAAACCCTAAACCCTAAACCCTAAACCCTAAACCCCAAACCCTAAACCCTAAACCCTAAACCCCAAACCCTAACCCCCCCAAAGCTTCAACCGGCTCTCGAAGTGTGGGAGCCGAGGCCCAGAGTCTGAGACCCCAGAGCTGGTTTGCGCCTGGGGCGCCGAAGGCCAGAGCTGTTTTAGGGTTTAGGGTTTAGGGTTTAGGGTTTAGGGTTTAGGGTTTAGGGTTTAGGGTTTAGGATTTAGGATTTAGGGTTTAGGGTTTAGGGTTTAGGGTTTAGGGTTTAGGGTTTAGGGTGTGTCGAATCAACTGTTGCGGTAAAAAGAATGTAGGACGGACGCTAGAGTTTTTTTGCATAAGCGAGTTCGTCACGTCCATGGACCTCGCTATAAATCCCTCCACAACCCACCCGGAGCATTTGTCCTTAGCTTAAGTCCTAAGCGTCTAACACGAAGGAAATACCCATGCAGCTACAGGTACGCTGACAGTCCTGAATCGCTATGAACGAGCGAAAACGGTTTCAAATCACATGCAATTCAAAGCCACGATGCTTGTACCATTGTCGATTCACACACCTAAGAAAATCAATGAAACATGGCGTTTCTCACCTTTGCGCCGCAATGCTATGATGTACGATCGCTAAACGCTAGAAGAATATGTTCCTTCTGCGTATGCACCGTTCCAGAAACAACACGAAGAAGGCATCGCCTAAATAGCTGCAACTGCGGTCACGCCCATCGCTTTAAGATAGCATACTTTTGTCGATAAAGAGGAAGGCAACACTGCCTAAACCAGTTAAGCTGCGGTCACGCCATCGCCATCGCTTTACGATAGCAACCACAGCTATCGAATTCGATTTCATGTCTTTCAATGTTACACTGCGCCCATGGAAAGTCGTGGATCAGAGGGTCACGAAAGCTCAAGGCGAGACGTGGAGGCAGCGCATTGAGCAACTAAAGCCAGAAGGTAACCTCATGAAGCGGTTTCGTTTTACTGTATTTTACAGAAGCAGGTAGGTTTCGGTTGATGCGGTGCTGACGCTACAGTGGAAGGGCGGAGAGAAGGGGGGGGGGGGGGCGGGCAGAAAATATTTAGTTGAGCAGCAAACGCGCGCGCGCGCGAAAAGATCTTTGGCTTCGTTGCTGGTGAAGGGTTGTCGCTGAACGGTCATCGCAAAGAAACTTGACAGCTCTGGTTGCTATCGTAAAGCGATGGCGTGACCGCAGCACTTCAAATCCAAACCATACCAAAGCAGTTCTTTGTCTCTTTGCAGACAAGAACAAAACGCACATAGACGTCACCGATGTGTGTTTTGGATTGATCAGATTTGGCCACTTCAAAAGCAAACCATACCAAAGCAGTTCTTGTTTCTTTGCTGACAAGAGCAAAAAGCACATAGACGTCACCGATGTGCGTTTTGGACTGGCCAGATTTGACACACCAAAACCAAACCCTAGCAAAGCAGTTCTCGTCTCTTTGAAGACAAGAGCAAAACGCACATAGACGTCACCGATGTGCGTTTTGGATTGGCCAGGGTTGTTGCTGAACGGTCATCGCAAAGAAACTCGACAGCTGTGGTTGCTGTCGTAAAACGCTTGCGTGACCGCAGCTTCAACTGTTTCAAGCAATTAAATGGCCCTTGCTTGGATGTGCGTTGACATCACTTTATTTAGGCGGATTTTAGTTGAGCAGCCACCCATGGTTGAATCGAAATCCCTTCTGAATTGTTATCGGGCAGCCATTCACGTCCAGGTTGACGTCGTGCTACGGAGCGGAACAGCACTGCGCGGCGGGCCAAGGTAGACCAATATCTCACCCAGAGCCGGAAGGTAACCTCATGAAGCGATTTCGTTTCACTATATATTACAGAAGCGGGTAGGTTTCGGTTGATGCGGTGCTGACGCTACAGTGGAAGGGCGGAGAGCAGGGAGGGGGGAGGGTCGGGCAGAAAATATTTAGTTGATCAGCAAACGCGCGCGCGCGCGATAAGGTGTTTGGCTTCGTTGCTGGTGAAGGGTTGTCGCTGAACGGTCATCGCAAAGAAACTTGACAGCTGTGATTGCTATCGTCAAGCGATGGCGTGACCGCAGCGTCAGCTGTTTCACGCAATGTCATGGCCTTTGCTTAGACGTGTGCCGACATCACTTTTGTTAGGTCGATTTGTAATCGGGCAGCCACCCATAGTCGAACCGAACACTTCTGAATTGAATTTCGATTTCATGTCTTTCAATGTTTCCACATCGGACTGTGTCCACTGCCTGACAACATTGCCTCCAACAGTTGAAGCTGCGGTCACGCCATCGTTTTACGATAGCAACCACAGCTATCAGGTTTCTTTGCGATGACCGTTGAGCTGAAACCCTTCACCGCCAGGCCTCCAAAGACCTTTTCGCGCGCGCGCGCGCGTTGTTGGGGGGTCAGAGGCCGAAGCCGGCTCCGGGGCTCGAAGCTGGGCTTCGGCCTCGGGCTGCTCCAGGCCGCTCCTTACATGTCACGAGGCTCGTCTGCGGCATCTCGCAAAAACGCTTTTTTTTTGAAAATCCGAAGCATTTTCGAATGCTTCCACGATGACTGCTTTCAACGACAAAGTGAACTTGTGGTGCTCACACATCATTCTCTGCAAAGCAGCTAGTCACATCCCTAAGCAAGGTGCGAACTCCAGCGAAACAAATACTCAATGCAAACTTAGCTGGATATGCAACTACATCGATCATTAACGGCCTTCAAGTGAAGAACTCTACATCATTTGAAGTTCTTCAACGATTTACATACGTTCCGAAACGAGGTCACAGCCATCCGAGCAACAACCACGCAGAATCAAAGCCACGCCCTCCGCAGAATCACTCTGCCGTCGATGGATATGAAGAAAGAGTCAACACTTTCAGCCGAAACAACTACAAAACATGGTTTGTGCAAGCACCAGTGAGGCTGAAAGTAACACCGCGAACAGAAAAAAAATGCATGGCATGCATGCCTTTGCTAGCTTGTCAAAGTTCGAGCGTTTTGGTTTACAACTTTCTTGTTCCTTGCTTGCTAGCTCCTTTCTTTGTGCGTCTTTGAGCTGCGGCAATGTTGTTGACTGACTCATTCAAGCAAACACCTTACCACAATAAGGTAATCACGACTTCGAGAGTTAAAGCAGTTGTCAAAACTTGAACCAGGGCTTGCTCTCATAGAGCCACATCTCTAGCTTATTCAAGCCTAGAACATGTCTCTTGCGGTCAGTGCTTGTCC